GGTCGGGGCGCTTAAGTCTAGCCAATTCCCTAGGCCACATCCCTCAAAAAGCATCCTAACATCATCCCCCATCCCTAAAGCCTCAGCAACACTCTCGTCAAAAATCTTGGTAGGTCGAACTCTTCTCCTACTTATTCTAATATAGTTTTAAAAAAGGTTGGGTCATTGAACACTATTCCCATAGTGTCCACTTGTGGTGGATCAACGGGAGGAGGAGGAGAGGGGTTGCGGTACCTAGCATCCGTGTTTCTAGGTCGGTTTCTTCGGCTCATGGTTAGGCTTTATGCAAGGCAATAAACACACCACAACTAAACAATCCACAAAACAAACACACAAGAGGCACTAGGTCCACTAAGACAATAACCAAAGGCTTAATCAATCACCAATGAACACAACATAATCACCAAGTCAAGCTCTAAGTCACCACCTAAAACCAAGACAAGCAAATCACCAAGCAACTAGGTCCACTTCACTAATACATTAACAATGATTCAACTCTAATATCATGCATTAACCATAAACAATCCAACACAACAACTTATTCAACCAAGCATGCTTTTTTTTTTTCATTCACAAGAAATGAATCCTCAATCTTACTTACAAAAATTCAATACTCACAACATTCACAAAACACCTTGAAATTCACTAATATCTTACAATTATCAACTAACAATCATTCACAACCAATTCAAACAAACATTTTCAAGCAATTTCATGCAAAAATTCAAGTATTTAAACACAAAATTAGTGAAAGGGAGGAACGATCATACCGAGCTTATTGTGGGTGTAAAACCCGCAAATGAACTTTTCTAACCTTCCTTATGCTTGCTTGACCATGCTCCAACACTCAATTGCTTCAAATTTTAGTTCACAAGAAAACCTCTAAAATGATTTTAAAGGGTTAGGGTTTTGAAATTTTGGGTATTTTTTTTTTTGGGTTTTAAAAAGGAGAATGGAGTAGTAGATTGTGATTTTGTTGAAATGGAGTGAAGATTTTGAGGTAAAATGTTGATTTTTGGTGTGATTTTGAGGGGTTGAGTGAATTTGAGTGAGTTTATGGAGTAGGAGGAAGGAGTTTTAGAGAGAGAAAGGGGGTATTTTCGTGGGATTGAATTATGAAAAGTGAGCAAATTTTTTTTTTTTACATAAGAGCCGTGAAATTGGGGCTGCACGGACGTGCAACATTTGGCACGGACGTGCATCTTCAGACATTAACCTGAACAAGTTACTGACCTGTTTGGCACGGACGTGCAGGGGGTTGCACGGACGTGCTTAGCAACATTGCACAGACGTGCTGAATTGGCCACGTCCGTGCCAATTTGGAAAAATTTACTCTTAAATTTGTCATTGCCTCTGACTGCCTCTGCACGGACGTGCGATGTTCTGAACATCCGTGTAGACCTAATGCTGCACATAATTCTCTTTTTTTTCAATAATAATAATAATAATAATAATAATAATAATAATAATAATAATAATAATAATAATAATAATAATAATAATAATAATAATAATAATAATAATATTAATAATAATAATAATAATAATAATAATAATAATAATAATAATAATAATAATAATAATAATAATAATAATAATAATAATAAAATTATTACTATTATCACCATTATTATTCTGATTATTACTAAGCCTACTACTTCACATCCATGAATATTTTTCTTACTACTCTTTTCATCAATAACTACAAAAGATATTAAGAGAAAAGTTAGTAATAATAATTATTATTATGGAAAAGAATTAATAGTATATGAGAGAAGGGGGTTTAGAAACTCGGGTTGCCTCCCGAAAGCGCTCTTCTAACATCACTAGCATGACGACATTGCGTGATCAATGAGAGGAAGGAACATCAAACTCATCAAGGTGAACAACCTTGGCTTCTTTATGCACAAAACCATCAAAGTATGGCTAGCCTTTGGCCATTCACTTTGAACGGTTCACCATTGTCTTTTGAGATTTCAATAGCACCATATGGAAACACCTTCTTAACTGTAAAAGGTCCACTCCATCTTGACTTGAGCTTACCCGAAAACATCTTCAACCGGGAATTGAATAGTAGGACCTTGTCACCTTCTTTGATCTCCCTTTTTCTAATATGCTTGTCATGCCAAACCTTGGTCTTTTCCTTGTAAATCTGTGCACTCTCATATGCATCCAACCTTAATTATTCCAAGGCATATGGAGGTCAAGCAACCTCTTTTCATCGGCACTTTGAAGGTCGAAATTCAATGTTTTGATGGCCCAATGAGCACGATGCTCAAGTTCTACCGGCAAATGACATGATTTCCCATAAACAAGCTTGTATGGTATGGTGCCAATGGGAGTTTTGAATGCGGTGTGGTAGGCCCATAGAGCATCATCTAGCTTTGTAGACCAATATTTCCTAGACCTATCTACCGTTTTCTCAAGAATCATTTTTATCTCCCGATTTGAAATTTCAGCTTGACCACTTGTTTGGGGGTGGTAAGCCAATGACACCTTGTGCCTCACACAATATTTCTCAAGGAGAGCTTGAAAGGACCGCTTTGCAAAATGTGAACCTCCATCACTAATGACGGCTCGTGGCACCCCGAACCTTGGGAAAATTACTCTTTTGAAGAGCTTGACCACCACTTTAGCATCATTAGTAGGAGATGCAACCGCTTCTACCCACTTTGACACGTAATCAACGACCACAAGAATGCACTTTTTCCTAAAAAAGGTCGGGAAAGGCCCCATAAAATCAATTCCCCATACAACAAAAATCTCTAACTCAAGAATGTTATTCAAAGGCATCTCACTTCTTCTTGAAATATTACCGGTTCTTTGACACCGATCACAAGCTTTCACTACACCCCACACATCTTTGAACATTGTGGGCAAATAAAAACCACATTGTAAGATTTTCGCCAAAGTTTTGTTAGAACTTATATGCCCTCCACAAGGTGAGGGGTGATACATTGTGATAACATCTTTAATCTCATTATCCGGGACACACCTTCTAAAAAGGCCATCAACACCTTGTTTGAAGAGCAAGGGGTCGTCCCAAATATAATATTGACGAACATTATGTAGAAACTTCCTTTTTTGTTGATAGGAGAAGTCGGGAGGAAGAATAGAGAAGGATAGATAGTTTGCCATGTCCGCAAACCATGGTGCCGGTGTTTGTAGAATAGCAAATAGTTTATCATCCGGAAATGAATCGTCGATTGGCAAGTTATCAAGATCACCTACAAAGATAGGCAACCGTGAAAGATGATTGGCCACAACATTTTCGGCACCTTTCTTGTCTCTTATCTCAATGTCATAGTCTTGTAAGAGCAAGACCCAACATATCAATCTTGGCTTTGGTTCCTTCTTGGACAAGAGGTACTTCAATGCCGAATGGTCGGTAAAGACTATGACTTTAGACCCCAACAAGTAGGACCTAAACTTCTCAATTGCATGAACAATGGCTAGAAACTCCTTTTCTGTGGTTGTGTAATTCCTTTGTGCATCATCCAAAGTTTTGCTAGTGTAGTAGATATCATGGAGCTTCTTATCCTTCCTTTGTCCAAGACCGGACCCAATGGAAAAATCCGAAGCATCACACATTAGCTCAAAAGGAAGCTCCCAATTAGGGGGTTTAATGATAGGAGCCGAAATCAATGCTTCCTTTAACCTATCAAATGCTAGAAAACAATTATTAAAAAATCCTTTACCAACAATTGAGTGAGAGGTTTTGCGATTTTTAAAAAATCCTTTATGAACCAGTGGTAAAAACCTGCATGTCCAAGAAAGCTCCTTATCCCCTTCACATTTGTAGGGGTTGGGAGGCGCTCAATGACCTCAATTTTGGAACGATCTACTTCAATGCCCCTATTAGAAATTACATGACCAAGAACAATTCCTTCTTCTACCATGAAATGACATTTTTCCCAATTCCAGACCAAGTTCACCTCTTCACATCTTTTCAACACTTTAATCAAATTCGAAAGGCAAATGTCAAAAGATGAACCAAAAACAGAAAAGTCATCCATGAATACTTCAATTGATGATTCAAGCATGTTGGAAAAGATAGACATCATACACCTTTGAAATGTGGAAGGTGCATTACAAAGTCCAAATGACATCCTTCGATTAGGAAAGGTGCTAAAAGGACATGTGAATGTAGTCTTTTCTTGATCCTTGGGTTGGATTGGGATTTGGAAGAATTCTGAATATCCATCCAAGAAGCAATAATGACTATGTGATGCTAGTCTTTCCAATAATTGATCAATAAAGGGGAGAGGGAATTGGTCTTTTCACGTGGATTTATTCAATTTTCTATAATCAATGCACATCCTCCACCCGGTGACCGACCTTGTAGAAATGGTCTCACCCTTATCATTCTTAATGATGGTGATGCCTCCTTTCTTAGGTACCACTTGAACCAGACTAACCCACTTACTATCGGAGATAGGGTAGATTATACTCGCTTCAAGAAGTTTTAAAACTTCCTTTTTCACAACTTCTTTCATGTTTGGATTGAGCCTTCTTTGATGCTCAATTGAAGAAGCATGATCATCATCAAGTAATATCTTATGCATGCAAATTGTGGGACTTATCCCCTTAATGTCATCAATTTTTACCCAATGACATCTCTATAATCCCTTAGAACAACTAGGATTTTATCAAGAGAGACATCATCGAGTTTGGCATTGATAATAGCGGGATAAGCCTCCCTATCATCAAGGAAAGCATATTTAATAAGAGGGGGAAGGGTTTTAAGTTAACCTTATGAGGAGGCGTAGTCCTCTCCTCTTTTACCTCCACATTGAGCACTTCCACCTTCACTTCATTGTGGACTAAAGGTTGGTTGAGCAAAAGATCATACCCCTTGTTTCTTCATCTTCCTCAACTAAGCCTCCCGTTAGGATAGCTTGTAATGGATCTCCTTCAATCAAATTCTCTTGGAACTCCTCTAAGTTCCTTTCCAAAGTATCAAATCTATGAACTTCATCTAACAATGGATTTTTCAATGTTTATGGAAATGAAAATGAAATTTTCTCATCTCCTACATTCAAGGTCAATATTCCTTCCTTCATATCAATAACAACACCCGCGGTGTTCAAAAACGGTCTTCCCAAGGTTAGGGGCACCATAGTATCTTCTTCCATTTCCATTACCACAAAATCACATGGCACAAATACTCTTCCAACTTGAACCGGCACATCTTCAAGAATTCCGAAAGGTAGCCTAACCGTGCGGTCTTCTAATTGTAAGGACATTCTTGTTGGCTTCAAGTCTCCAACTCTTAAACTCTTTGCTATAGAATAGGGATCAATCTCACACTTTCCTTAAGATCACATAAAGCATCCATAGCTTCCAAGTCTCCAATCTTCACCGGTATTGCATAGCTACCGGGGTCACCAAGCTATTGAGGAAGCTTGTTTTGAATGATTTCACTAACCTCCTTATGAAGGGAGATGGTTGCACTCTCTTTAAGCCTACTCTTGTTGGATAGAAGATCCTTCAAAATTTTTGAATATGTAGGCATTTGTGACATAGCATGAACAAAGGGGATATTCACTTGAAGTCCTCTCATGACTTCAAGAAAATTTGAAAACTTTTCATTCAATTTCTTTTCAACAATCCTATGAGGGAATGGAATGGGAGTCTTGTATACTTTCATGGGGGGCTTTTCTACCTTTTCCACATCTCCCTCATTTTTCTTTTGTGGCTCCTTTCTCTCAACATCAACTATCTCATTTTCAAACTCACTCTCATTTCTCACCACAACTCCCTCATCTCTCTTTTGTGGCTCCTCTTCACTCATAACCGACCCTTCATAACCTCTCCCCGATCTCAAAGTAATGGCCTTAGCTTTCTCCTTTGGGTTCACAACTGTTGAGCTTGGGAAGTGACCACTAGGATTGGAGGATGAACTTCCAACTTGTTGCGCAATTTGAGCCAATTGATTCTCAATTATCTTGTTGTGTGCTTGAAGTTGTTGGATGTTGGCTTGCATATCCGCATTGCTTCTTCCTTGTTGTGTAATGAAGGACTCAAGTGCGGCTTCAAGGCTAGATTTTTTAGGAGGTGGAGGAGCGGGTTGGTTATATTGTTGCCTTTGTTGGTTTTGGTCCCTTAGGTTAGGGTGACGGTAAGGAGCTTGTTGGTTTTGTGGATGGGATTCGTTGTATTGGTTTTGAGGGGGGCCTTGGTTTTGTTGCTTCCAACCCGTGTTTTGTTGGGGTTTCCAACCGTGATTCTAGGGTTGAGAGTATTGATCATTTCTTTGCCCAATAGCCACAGCTTGCTCTTGGTTAGTTGAGTTGAAATAGGAGAACAAGTGATCATTTCCTCCACAAGTTTCACAAGACATGACTTGTTGTGAAGAAGATCTTGGAGATGTAAGGGTGGCTTGATCTAGCTTATGAGCTAGCATGTCAACCTTTGATGCAATAAGGTCTATTGCACTAAGATCGTGGATTCCGCCCTTCTTTGCTTGAGGTTGCCTTCTATCACCTCCGTATTCATAGTGCTTTTCCACTTCTAAAATCATCTTGTATGCATCATCTACCGATAGCTTTTTAAGGCTACCACCAGCCCCGTTATCAAGGTTGGCCCTTGAAGTAGGAGTAATACCATCATAAAATCTTTGAACAATGATCCATGATGTGAAATCATGGTGAGGGCATTTTCTAGTGTAGTCCTTGAAACCCTCCCAAGCTTCACGTAAAGTTTCATCAATCTCTTGGTTGAAATTGGTGATTTTTCTTCTTAGTTCGGCGGTATTTTCGAGTGGACAATACTTTTCGATGAAGGCTCTAGTGACTTCATCCCATGTGGTCAATGATCCCTCTTCTACCGTTCTCAACCAACGCTTTGCTTTGTCACAGAGGGAGAATTGAAACATGTGCATACGGATGAACTCTTCCATAATGTTGTTTTTCTTGATGGTTCTGCACAATTCAGGGAAGTTGTCTAAATGAGAAAAAGGACACTCAAGAGAACTCCCACCAAATTGATTACTTTGTATCATACGGATGAGTTGAGGTGAAAGCTCAAAATTATTTGCATTCATAGTAGGGAAACGTATGTCACTCTGAAGTGTGAAGGCATTGGGGTGGTTATAATCTCGTAGCAATGGTGGAGAAGGATTGTTATCACCCATGTTATCTTCTTCGTTGGTTGCAAAGATGTCCTCCGGATCGGAATCCGAATATACAATAGAGAACTCGGGTGTGCCTTACAAAAAGCCTACTCATGTTTCTCAAAGTCCTATTTAGCTCTAGATCAACGGGAATAAGCGATGATTGCTTACTCTTCCGTGTCATGCAAGGTCAAACAAAGCTAAGAAAAATGTTAGCAATGACTATCACAAGTTAAAAACACAAATATAAAAAAATAAATAAGAAAAATTATGATACAAATACACACACTTAGACTCATTCAACAATAATATATTCAATGTGACTTTGCTTCCCCGGCAACGGCGCCAAAATTTGATAGGCTGTCGTCGAGCCTAACAAAGATAAAGTCCTATCTTGGTCTCACTAGCTAATAACAAGGGTAAGAAAGGGTCGAACCCAAGAGAGGCGTTGAATCAAACACTGAGATACTACCGTTTAAACAAGCTAAATGAAGTCCAAATTAGTTTGGTTTATGTAGCATGTACTAATTCAAATTAACTAATACTAAGGGGTGATTAACAATAATTTGAGAGTTCTAGGGCTCGGGATATACCACTCAATTTTTTCACAAATCACAAATAGCATGTAGCAAACAATGATAAATTAAGGGAATAATATAGGGGAAGTCATCTAAAGCACCCAACTACTCTCTCAAGCTAGAGGGATTACTTGAATCATGAATGCAACCTACTCTCGTGGTTACATAGCATAAAACAAGTGTTAAAGCATAATCACGATGACAAAAAACATTCCCTTGACTAGAAATTCCTATTCTCATGGCATTTCAAGTCAATAAAGCATAAGGGAGCTAACTCAAGTTCATCTCTCGATCCTTCGTTGAGAAAGCTTAGATAATAGTTCTAGAAATAGCCATATACAAGAAATCAGAAATTAAACCACTTAAGCTCAACTAATTAACACCTAACAATTACTAAATTAACATATGCAACAAGTAATTAGTGACTACATTGAGGGTTTTACCCAAACCCTAGAAAATTAGACTACTCACAATCCATGGAGATTAAAGCAATTAAGGGTTTCAAGTAACTCATGAACAAGAATTAACTAAAGATTAAGCTAAATAACAATCTAAGCATAAAAGAATTAAGCAAGAAAATTAACAATCAAGCAATTAAAATGGAAGAGAAAAGTGAGAAAAATATTACAAGAAGCTTGAACTTGAATAACAATGGTGGAACTTGTCTTCTACAATGATTGAGAATAAATGATTTGAGAATATTAGTTCTTCTACAATTACAAATTAAGAGGAAGCACCAAAAACTTGGATGTCGTACAAATGAGCTCAAGGGGTTATTTATAAAGACCCCCAAATAAAAAAGACGAAGAAAACAAGAGTCGAGCACAGCTACATGTCAGCACGGACGTGCAGCCATACTTGCACGGACGTGCCAAGGTAGGCACGAGCGTGCACCTCCGAAAGAAGGGAGGCAGAACCTACTACCTTGGCGTGGAGATCCTGCACGGACGTGCCGAATGTGGCACGTCCGTGCAGGACTTTTTCTGTACAATCAGTATTGAAACTGATTTTGGCTGGGAAAACTGCACGGACGTGAAGGATCAGGCACGGACGTGCAGGATCAGGCACAGACGTGCTTAATATCCTTCACTGACGTGCTGAACTCTATACGAACATGCAGGTCTTGAAAGCAGTAGGTAGTAGCTTCTGGTCATGCTAGGGCACTCCTGCACTGACGTGCCATACTTTGCACGTCCGTGCATACTCTCTAGGACCTTTATCTTCACTTTTCTTTGGTTTTGCTCCATTTTCTTGGCTTCTAACCTTGGTTTATCATACATATGCCTCAAAGGGTCGTCTTTGAACCTAAAAACTCAACAAAATAACTAGTAAGCCGTGAAGCAAGGGATACACAAAAGTTGAACAAAAATAGAGTAAAAGTGAACCAAAATGCCAATATACCAAGTAAACAAGGTTCGAAATCACTCTAAAATCAAGTCAAATAACAAGTTATCATGTGGCCGCTTTAATTTTAGCAAACCTCGCATCCCAGAAGCAATAGAAATTTGACAGAATAACAGTGCTACAGATAGAGGTCTGTCGCCGGCCGACAAACTACAGCGCAAACCGACAACTCCTGTAGCTCGGCGATAGACAGCAATGCCTGACGAAAGCTGCAAAACGGCGGCGCCGTTTTTCTGGGAATATCTGGGAAAATTTCGGTTTTTTTTCGGAAAATTTTCGACTTCTGTACTCGAAAAATTTCTGGAAAATAAAATAATTTAATTTGTTTTCATTGCTTTAATAAATGAAATTTTAAAAAGTTGATTTAATTAAAAAGCTAAAATTACATTATTGATGGAATTGAAAAGAAAGCTTAATAACAAATTTACTTTTAAAATTAAAATTAGTATAATAAATTGGAAGTTAAGCAATGCTTCAATCTTTCTTATCTTTCTTTGCCCTTTTTCAATCTTATCTGCATCCTTTTCATCATCCATGACTTTAGCTAGTAGGCATCATTTAGAGGACCTACATTCAATTTTAGAGTAAATGGTTTCTCCTTTATCTAGGACTCCATGTTTCTTTTCTACCCAAACCTTCTTATCTGAAGTGTCAGCTTTTCTTTTCCCTTTATCTTTCGTAGAGTCTTTCTTCTTAGGCATCACAGGTGTTTTGAGTTCAATCTTTTCACCCAAGCATTCCTTAACAGGAATCACTTTGTCACCTAGACGATTCTTCACATTGGTTTTACTCTGATTTTTCTTCATGTCCTTTGTTGGCTTATTAAGAAGCCATCTCTTCACATCATTGGGTAAGGAACGAGGAACATTTTGGGTACTCACTTCCCATAAAGGCCTAGCACTCCAATATGTGTGAAATTTCTTTACTTCTTAAGAAATAAGGAATTCATAGGGACGACGAAGATCCCCAATAGAAATTGTTTGAAGTAGACCGTACTGGCTTTTTACCCTGCATGGATAATAAAAAGACATCTTGGTTAAGCTTGGAAGACGGCAGAAGGGTTGCTTGTTGACACCAACCATCTTCTCTATTTTCCACTAGGGGACAACCTACTTGATAGCAAAGTTGCCAGAGGCAAAGACTTTATTCCACTCATAACGCACCATCTTAGAGAAGCGTTTCATTCGCCTCACAGAGAACTAGAGTATATTTTTCGAAATTGTGAGGAGGACTAATTAATTATAGTCTCTCCATTAGCCATATCTGAAAAAAATTCAATGTAAATAAATTAGTATTACTATTAAAAAAAATATGTTTTTTTTATTTATGTAATTAAAAATATTATTTTTCTTCCCGTAAAAAATTGAAGAGCCCCGAAAAGGTGATTTTGGATTTTTCTAGAATTCATCAAGACTAAGTGTAGTCTCTCCAACAATTAATGGCATTGGATTTCTCCCAAATTCAATTTGCTACAAAACAGTTAATATAATTGCTTGACCCTCATTAGTTCTACCACTAGTTCATATTGATTAAGCATGCAAATGATAAAAGCCCTTCTTCTATAAACATGAAAAGACTCAGAATAAGGTCTATCAAAGTAGTGGCGTGCAAATTCTTTTTGATTAACTACACTACCATCTACAATATTTGTTAGATCTCTGTATCTTAAATTAAAGAAGCGCTCAAAATCTTTATAGTAATATTCATTTATTCTAGGGATTACCACAAGATCTAATGAAGGGAAGCCTAAGATGGAACCAAATTCTTCTGTTAAAAGGCTAATTTCATCACACCCTAGTCTAAAGCAACGTGTATCTGTGTCCCAATATTCTAAGGTGGTATGAATAAAATCTATATCAAGATCTACCCCCTTAACACCATAAATACCTC